TTATGAGCGGAAAAGGTTTCAAGTTCTGAGGTGATGGTGTTTGATCGGCTGTGCTATCGCGCGCGCGTTCGAACACAGTGTACTTTGTACCAACGACCCTCTGCGATCATTACGAAGGTCGTTATTCGTTCATGTGTGGCCCACTGGAAATCAATTCTCCTCTCAACATTAAATTAACGTTTTTACAGTTTGAATCGCTGAATTTGGAAATTTAAGAATACTCATTTGCGACTTTTTCGCGTCATTTCAATTTTTTTTTGCATCTTCTATGCATATTACACAGTGGAAACTTATTTCGGCGTTGTGACATGACTTTCCATTTCCGGCTGCGGTTCAAACTCTGAGTTTAACCCGTGTTTCCGAAAATAAACCCAGTTTCTAAGCATCGCAACTGGCGAAATCGCTTCGTATTTGAGCCAAATCTGAAACGGAGAAAATTACGCACTATAAATAATTTTGTGACATCAGTGTTAATACTTTCAAGTTTATTGTTACAGTTGAAACTGTGTTTCTTTCATTCACTTCATTCACTACTCATACCTTCGATCACTCCAGTATAAAAAAAAATTGTAAAAAAAAGTGAAGTATTGATTGGGCTTGAGGGAGGAATGAAACGAACCATTTTGATTATTTCGTTTATGATGATATTCTCTTTCTTAATTGTGTGACCAGTTAAACTTTGTCTTGAAATTTCCCGTGGTAAGACTTATTGTCAGGCTCCTTTTTTTGAATACAATTCAGAGGTTATAGTATTTGTGAGTTCCATCAAAAATCCTTCACAGTGATTAGAAAAAAGATTATATGTTTATTCATATACTATACGATATTTGAGCAGTGCGTGATGAATGGTTTTTGAATTCGTAGACTACTCCTTGAATAAAATGAGCATTTTTGGTAAAGAATCTCTCCATGGCATCCTATATTCGAACTTAAGGGCACCAAATTCAGAAATGAGAAGTGCCGACAAGCTGGTAAGGGTCGCGTGGTGAAATAGGTCCTTGATGCCCACTCTATATACCACTCTGGGATATACCATTTACTCGTGAACGTGGAGCAACATGAACTTCGGCCAGGGGAAACTATTTGAAAGTCAGGGTGTCGTGGTGCTATTTTGGCGAGAGCACAGACGGGAACAAGAAAATGTTCAAGATTCACCGGCTTTCCGTTTATCCACGTTTTACACCGTTTCGCGCGGCTGGGTCTGTCGTGACTGCAGACATAACAATATACGTGACGATAAACAGCATGAAGGGCATCTACAACCTATTTGGAAGTGCCGCTGGAATACTATAACGTGTTTCGTGGAAAATGAATAAGTGAGAACGGCGACTGTCAACGCTGCTCTTACTGGTGGCTGGAACCCGGTTATTTTGTGGGAATGCTGTACTTTGTCTCGTGACTGCCAAGTCCTGCGGGGCTCAGTCACAGTGGCGAAGTTCTCACTTTTACACTCTGTGCAGCATCTGTGACTCGATAACCTTGCAGGTATTTCAACGGGACTGTCTAGTGGCCACTATCACACATATATAATCACTTTAATGAATAAATGAAGTTCAAGGCTCAATCGAGCTCAACAAGATTCGAAAAGCAGAGATACTACTCACAATAACATTGTACATCAAATTCTTCGGCGAGATGCATTCATTTTTTATTAGAAGCCTTGATGTCAAATTTGGATTTTTCTCTGGTCTCATCCAGTAGGGGAAGAGCTATAGAGGTGCCGCCTCAAGAAAACACAATTCTTTGCAGGAAGGAATTCCCTGGGGTTGCGTTCATCGTTTCGTTTCCGCTTCTAACACCCACCCGGAGCTCTGATTTCCGCGCAGAAGGAAGCTATCATTTTGAGCAGTTAGGAAGAGTCGAGACGTGCCCCCCCCTCCTTTAAATGAGCCGGAGAAAAGCCATATTATTAACGGAGGATCGCTGCTTTCGATGCTTGCATGATGTCTCCCTTTTCTTTTGCGCAATGCTGGCTGCGTTAGACTTCTTATGTAATCTAGCGCACACTCCACATTCTGTAGTGGTAGACTCCGCTTGTGGTGTCGCGATTATGCATGCTGCGACAGGAAGGAGAAGTCTAAGGTGTATTCCAGTTCGAGGGCGGGGCATTATGATGCTTTTTCCAAAAAGCTAAGGCAACTCCGAGCAAAGAGGAGCTGATAGCCAGTCTAGAGGGTGGGCGGTGAGAGTCAGTCATTGATCATGCGGTGACAAAGTTGGAATAGTACAAGTTCACCTAGTTCACGAAAAGCTGTCATCATGATCCCCACCTAACTGAAGACGCCGAAGTCTGACATCTTTACGCGCGACAATTTAGGCCGCGTAACAGAGTGTGAAATAGTTCTATTAGATTTATGGTGCTTTATCAAGAATGCTGCTTCCACCAACACAGTAGCTTACTGTTGAACGATATCCGTTCAGGCATGTGCGTCAATGATGGCATTGGCGATACCACTATAACGGTTAGGTCTCGTCATCGATTGTATGATACTTGTAATTTATTATTCTTGTAAACGCGTTTAGTGCGAAACGTGCGCGAGTATTTCCGCGAAATAATGATGGGTATGATATGACTCGACCGTCTAAACTTACACGCGGAAAAACGTGACGGAACGAGTTTTTATCGCGCACAACAGTTTGATATTCTAGGCTAGCAGCATGCAATTTCTTTAGTGGGATCAAGGCGCAGTCTCTGAATGCCAATACGATCCATTGGGGATCGTCCACCTGAATTTGAGTGCGGCAAGTCATCAAAAACATTATTGGAAATGAAGAGTAATAACAGTGTGGGTTCATACATTCAGTAATTGTCGGGATGGGACTGTATTCTGTCGCAAGATGATTCCCATCAGGTCTCATTTACTGAGATCAAGCGGAGTTCAAGTTCAGCATAGCTGCGGTAGGATAAGTAGGATTGTAGTGGACATATGCACTGAGTATTACTAATATGCAAATTACATACACGCCGTGGCGTAGAGGCCTATCTAAATCCTAGCCTATACACTATCGCAACACCAAGATAGGTAGCCAGTTTCGTTAGTTAGTATGACGTAACTTTTCATTCACCGATATTTGTGCGGAGGAACGCTTTCAATGAAGTCATACATTAACAACAATATGAATATGACGCAATCACAGATGACGCGAGTGTCTTTTAGGGCTAAGCATAGGAGTGGCTAGGCAATTTTAGGGAATATGGGACCTTGCTCACTAATTGGAATCTCCATCCCCGCCTAAGAAAGCTTGTGTCCTTTTTTTCAAAGAAGGAACATGTTTTAAACGGCCAGGTTATTTGAGTACACTGCCAATGCCCCGTCGCTTGCGTAGCGTCTTGAATCTTAGTGTTGCTTGGAAGAGATTAGGCGTTTGCCCAGTAATCGAAGCACGATACGAGCTGATCGCTATGTCTTGCATTATATCCTCAAGAGCCGAACTTGCTTAGTTTTAAGTAGGGAGTCGTAGAAGTCGACTACGATACCTATTCATGCACAACTCCAGCATGGCATATGGAGATAGTGTTGACAACACTAGAAATTCTCAAGTCTTCCTGTTCTCGAGGACGGAAATTGGAAATGCTGTGTCGGGACAGGGGAAGTTACTTGGTGTGCACACGGATTTTGCGGTTTCTACGCGCACCTTACTTTTCCTTCCAACCGAGGTCTCCCTGCTCATTCTGTAGCACGAACTCGCAAGTATAATCCACCGACTTCGAGTGTTAATTGAAGGACAGTACCCTTCATGTCCAGAACGAACATGCATTGTTCGCCAGACAGAATTTCGATACACTGGCATGCGAAATAAACTCGCTCACGAAACATCGGTCACGCCGCTTTTCCCGTGTATGTTAAGCGGCGAGTGGCTTTCCACCCTCGCGCGGTCTACGGGCACTGAAAACCGGCTCCCTCAAACTGTCCCTCAATTTTAATGCTTCGTCCTGACGCTCTTTCCCTCTACACCCACAACGGACTTTCAACGATCCTCCCCTTCAAAAGCGAGAAAGGTCGGGTGACCAGACCAAACACACACACTGACGACGGGACTCCGAGTAAAGGTTAGAAGTTGTCCATCAGTGATAGTGATTTCTGTAAATGATAGTTTGTAATGAGTGACATTCGAATAGAAAGACAACTGCAAAACAGGGCGTAATCATTTCATGTTGGCAGAAAACGATTAATCATTTTTGATGAAGGTCGTACGTTCAATTTGTCATTACATGGTCGAGAGGCTTTATCCTTAGGGGCCCGTGACCATCCTGGAATTCGAAGGCCGAGCCGCAGCGCCGTTATTTTATCGTACTGATGCTCTAGCCACTCGTGGTCCTCTGTCGTTAAAAAACCCGGGTTTGCGGAACCGGGGCATGCGATGGCCGCGGGCTGTGCTTCTTCTGCTCTAAGGCCTTAGTCACGATGGCGCGTATGAAATGCCACATAGTGGGAAGAGAGTGACTCGCCCTGTGGACTCAAGCTTGGAAGGCGAGCAGACACGAACAGAGCGCCGCTGCATCGCGTGTGCCGCACTCCCGACACCGAATTCAACCCTCTGCCTCTCGTGTAGGCGTTCACTTGGACAGAAGCGGCTGTTGAATCGCGTTTCGCGCGCGCGATAGAATGTTTCAGCTGATTCAAAGATAGGTAATTTCGAAATGAATTTGAGAAACTTTCAAGTACAGTAATACCTGTGCTCCAATAGTTTTTTGACATTGTGGCAAGTAAAGGTCTCTCATGTCCGTTAATGTATAGAACATATGCTGCGTTTCGTTCCGCACATATGGACTTTATGGGTTTTGGAGGTCGAGTGATTCATATACTGCTCTTCACTATGTCACGTCTGCTTCGAAATCGAATGAAACGCTGTTTTATGCCTTGCTTCAATTACCACACTTAGGTAGGAAGGAACATCCTGTGGCCTGAACACCCAGCCATGTCGAAGGTAACCATCACCACCAGGACCCCGCCATGCCTTCACCTATGAATTTTCGCTGAGCAGTTGCACATCAATTCATGCCATATATGCTGACACAGAACAAAGGTGTGCAAAGTCCTTCCCATGACCCACGTTTCATATTCGGAAGAAAGTATTCTCTTATTTGTTACCCTTTACAGGATAGGGCTAAGGATCCGCGATGGCAAGACATTGATATGTCGCGAGAAAGCGATCAGTACGATGTAGTGATAGTTGGAGGAGGACCGAGTGGGATGTCTGCCGCAATTCGACTGAAACAGCTTGCTCAAAAGGATGGAAAAGGTTCGTGTTGAGAATCTGCTTTTCTTACATTGTGAGCAAAAATGACTTTAGCTTGTAACACTTCTTATTTTCAATTGCTTTTGCAGATGTGAGAGTTTGTGTTGTGGAAAAAGCTCCGGAAGTAGGTGCACACACTCTCTCAGGAGCCGTGATCGAGACACGGGCACTTGACGAACTGTTACCGGATTGGAAAGAGATGGGTGCCCCAGTTTTTGAGCAAGTCAAGGTATCCTTTCAGTTTGAGCGCCAGGCCTGAATATAACTTATATTGTGAAGTTTAGTCAGAATCGGTGGCTCTTTTAACGAAAAACAGGCGAATCCCAATCCCGATGTTCCCCGGCATGCCTCTATACAATCACGGTACCTTATTCAATTTTAACTCTATTTGGAGCAATTTACTTATCTTTTCTATCTAGGGAATTATATTGTTCGTCTTGGCAATGTGGTGAGATGGTTAGGTGAACAAGCAGAAGCTGCAGGTGTTGAAATCTGGCCTGGCGTTGCTGCTTCGGAGGTTTCCTATATAAAAGTTTGTTGGGCAACTTGAAAGAAAACAGTATTGTTCAAGGTACTGTACAACGAAGACGGAAGCGTAAAAGGAATAGCTACAAACGATGTTGGTGTCGCTAAAGATGGTTCTCCGAAGGTAATCATTGTTCTTCGAATCCTTTTCCTACCCTCACGTTTTCCTTATAGGAAAGTTTTGCTCGAGGAATGGAGTTGCATGGGAAGTGCACTATATTTGCGGAAGGATGTCGTGGTCATCTCACCAAGCAGGTACGCCTTACGCATTTCAGCATTGTACCGTCCCTTGTGAATCAAACAAAACACAGAGGCTCTAGAAATCTGCTCAGAAGCTCAAACAGGTGCTAACTTAATTGGGGACCACGCGGCGGCACGGCGGTTTGCTCGCCTGGCACTCTCTCGAGCGAGATAGTGTGAACTCGAACATTCCAGCTTTTCACGCATGTCAGGTGACTGCCCTCACCCCTCCCCCTAGACTGCCTACAGTCCCCCTGGCTCAGGAATTTCCCGAAGTACCCAAAGATGCCAGGTGAGCAAAGCGCCGCGCCGCCGCGTGGTACCCCCCAATTAAGTTAGCACCCTCAAACCTTGTAGATGGTCAATATCTATTATGTCCTTGGCATTTTCCGGCTTTTAATAGGTTTTTTTCTATAGATCTGGTCAATTTTGGCACGTAATTTTTTTATTACCTGGGTTAGCTTGAGGTAGTGAGGGTGGCTTACCTTATAGGGATCTCTTCCATAAAATGTGGCTTTGTTGGGTGGGGGTGTGGTTCCTAGGACAGAAAGTGACTTTTTCCCCTTAGCAGCGCGTAACTTTTTTTTGCTGCAGGGACCTCAGGTACACAGTGATCAGAGGTGGGCCTTGGTTTTTGAAGCAAAACAATTTTGCGCTGCGTATAGCGGAAAAGCCGCTTTTCCCCAGCGAACCACATCCTTGGGGGGGGGGGGGGTGGGTCGAATTCACTGAGTAAGCAAGTTTAAATGGGTTAGGTAATCTGTGTAGTGAATCAACTGTATTGATAAACTTATCACAGGTTTTACAAACATGTTAGTTATCGAAATAAACAATACCACTGAAACTATTCTTATCTTCCTTGAGTTTTTGTTTGTGAGTTTTTGGTGTCATTTCTTTGTGAAATGGTAACTCGTAACCCGCACCCGATTGCTCTAAATTTCCATGGTTTACCATGGAAATTTAGAGCAATCGGGTGCGGGTTATGAGTCTCAAGCTACGAGTAGGAAAATTCGGCTTCTATTTAAGACCATCCGCATTTCCATAGTCATAGGTGTTTTGTGACTATTATTGAAATACGTATATTTATTCACTCTTGTTCCTGAAGACTGGTAATGCCTTATGTGTATGCGTTTGTACATTGACATTCAGACAGTTTTTACAGCAAAACCATATTATAGATTTTGGAGAAGTTTAAATTGGTTAATCATCCCATGTCCTTTGGTATTGGATTCAAAGAGCTCTGGGAGTTGGATCCAGCACAACATAAGCCAGGCTATATAGAGCACACCATGGGTTGGCCACTGGTAGGTCTGTTGATATTCCTGTCTTATCATCCAGTAATCGAAGTTCACAGCTGATGAACGGTTTCAATCCTTTTGCAAATTATTTCGATATTTCCGTTCTTTTTATTCAATCTTAGACTAAACCTTACAGTTTTTTCCTTCAAAGTTTACCCAAATATGTCAGTTACTAGGTGTGTAATAAACAATGTGAGACCTCATAATTTATTGCAAAAGACTCAAAAGTTTCTGCAAAAGAAATTGCAAAAATGTTTGTTTGCAAAACTTTTGCAAATAAACATTTTTGCAATTTCTTTTGTAGAAAGTTTTGAGTCTCTTGTAATAAATTTTGAGGTCCACATTGTTTATTACACATTTAGATAAACATGAGACTTCGGGACAGAACAATTCAGTTACTAGGGTTACATACAGAATCGTAAATGAGCCTGATTTGTCTTACAGACGATGGATCAGTACGGCGGCTCATTTATATACCATATCACTGACGAAGGACTGCCGCTAGCGGAAGTTGGCTTTGTGGTAGCTTTGGACTACAAGAACCCCTATTTGAATCCCTTCCAGGTATATATGTTTTGTGGCGATTCGACTGAATTTGACCATCTGTAGCATTGAAATCCACCACCACTTGTACTTTGGTCTTGATTAATTTATACAGTTCCTCTTCTCTTTTTTCTTTTCTCTTCTCATAAAGAAAACTTGATTAGGAGTTCCAAAGATGGAAAACTCATCCGTCGATTCGAAAGCAACTCGAAGGAGGTAAACGACTGGGATATGGTGCACGTGCTCTCAATGAAGGGGGATTCCAGACTGTACCGAAAGTAACGTTCCCTGGTTAGTTCTTGAACTCCTTCTGATTAACGTTTCACAATTAGTACAGCAGGCGCTAATGTGACATTTAGGCCCTTCTTTCTGTCTCACAAAGTTTCACTTACAATATCTCTAATTGGTGTTTAATTTTGCTTTTCAGGTGGTTGTCTTGTTGGATGTACTGCTAGTTTGTTGAATGTTGCAAAGTTAAAAGGAGTCCATAATGCTATGAAAAGTGGAATGCTGGCGGCGGAGTCGATCTACCCTGAGATCAACGAAGAGGCTTCGTGTAAGTTTTTGGCAGGGCTCAATGTAAATTACTTCTCTTTGTTCTTAACTCCTATGTCTTAAATTATTGCGCAGTACATCTTTGTTTGAAACGTGAGTGAAAACTGAAGGCGTGGGACCGGAGTTCTACTCTCCCTCGTCCTCAATTTTTACCTGGATATCTTGATGGTGGGATTCATGATATGTTGCTTCGAATACAGATAGTAAATAATAAATTGTTCGCCCCATTGATTTCCTGGTTACCATCAGGTATTACTCCTACTTCATATACGGAAGCGCTTGAAAACAGCTACGTTTTCAAGGAAATGAAAGCAACTCGCAACGTACGGCCTTCATTTAACACAGGAATAGGTAGCTTTCATATTAGGTCATCCTTCTGTTAAAATTTTTATTCAATCTGTTTTCACAGGGTGGCTGGGCGGTTTGATGTACTCTGGTATGTTCTACGTATTAGGACGTGGAAAGGAGCCTTGGACCCTCCAACACGGCAAAAAGGACAATGAAAAGTTGAAGAAGAAAGAGGAGTGTAAGGTGCGTGTTTAATGCGATAAACTTCATATCTACTTTGCTTATTACGTAGTGCCTTTTCAGCCGATAGAGTATCCCAAGCCCGACAATAAAATTACATTTGACTTATTGTCGTCCGTTTCGCTTACTGGGACTATTCACGAAGAAAATCAGCCGTCTCATCTCACGCTGAAAGACGATGAGGTTCCGGAGAAAATCAATCTCAAAATCTACGATGGCCCCGAACAACGATTCTGTCCCGCTGGTTAGTTGCTTCATACGGTGAACAGGTCCTTTATACTGTTTGGACGTAGTCACTTACTCTCACTTGTTTCAGGAGTCTACGAATATGTTCCTCAAGAAAACAACCCGTCGGAAATGCGCTTACAGATCAATGCTGCAAACTGTATTCATTGCAAAACTTGTGATATCAAAGATCCCACCCAAAACATTAACTGGGTAACGCCTGAGGGAGGAGAAGGGCCTAAATATTCAGGAATGTAAATTTTTCAAACTTTTGTTTATACCTTACCACCAGCGGTGAACGCAAGTCACAATCAACCATTTTGCTTCGTTTTATCTCACAGCTAACACTTGGCACAATACCTCACTTCATATTTACCATTCTTTTTTTTTACTATGCTCACGTTTTAATCGGGAAACTAGTAATTATTTGTCTAATTTGTGCAGAGTAGCATTTTGCCATAAACGTCGTGTCCAAATTTTTATGTTCACGGAGGGTTCGCGTTTGATATAGTACGACTGCCTTTTTACGTTCTACCTGTGAGAATTGCATTAGATGTGTAAAATGTAATAATAAAATATTTATTTTTGTGAATAGGATCACCGGAAGGGTTTCAATACTCAATATTTTGTCCCTGTGAGAGAATAGCGGAAGCACCGAGTCCTCCAACCAGGTCAGATCGTCGGCTAGGGCCTCGGCTTGAAGGCACGGTCCGCGATAAATTCACAAGGTTAATCCCTTGTTAGATGAAACTGTCCACCAAAGTATCAAACATGCCTGTCTAGAAAAGGCGCAGCAAACAGTCTAGAACCTTCGTTTATCCGCATAAAACCCCTTTACCCTCAACTGCGCCTACACTGGTGATGCTGTTCTCTGAGCTCTAGCTTGCATCTCTCTCTATGGTAATCTGTTTCTCCTCTCAACGCGCACTGTCTTTTACAGTCACTGCCTTGGCGTCTGGCTGCCTCGTAGTTTCGTCGACCGCTTGACCGCTGGCATACGACCAAACCCTCATTTTGTTTTCAGTTGTTTCCATTTTTCTTTCACCACTAATGATAAGGATATGCTAGGTACATGGTACCCCCTTTGATTTCAACCCTTCCTGATTTTTTCTTGGGCGAATTATCGCGGCCATTTTATCGTGGGGCGTGCCTTAAAGCTTAGATCTAGGCTCGGGTTTACGCTTGCTAGGACCACTTCAGTGGCGACCTGATCTATCGGAAGAAATGATGCAACCGAAAGAAGCTCAGGTTCTAAGCATGTCAAAATGCGGATTCATAAAGGTGCAGATAGAAGACAGTAGGAAGGAAGAACGTCAGTAAGAAACAACAATCGTGGATTCGCCCAGACTAACACAGTAAGTATTGGCACGTAGTATGACAGTTCACATTCTCAAACACGAAGCATAGAAATCTGGGAAAGTAGAAAATGCAATATCCAATTCTTGGACTTGAATTCGATATATAAATCAAGATGAAAGAGATCGGACTTGGACAAACTTTTCAATATAAGAACGTACTAAGAAAGTAGTTAAGGTTAAGAAACTATATTAAGACTTGAGATTACGGATTTGATTCTTCTACTGGGGATTGACTAGTGGTACCCGCCTCTTCACCTCGTTGTGTACCTCGTATCCATGATGATATACTCCTCACCTTAAGAAACTTATACATCTGTATTGAATCAACTGAACCTCATTTTCAACCAAATAGAAGTTTTTTCGAATTAATAAACTGCTTACCCTGTTAGTAAGTTGATCCCGCTCAGAGCCATTTATCCATGAAGACCTCTTGTGGTTCTGCGCTGAGGAAGTGTCTCCGTCTAGCTCATGAAATAAAGCAGTAAAATAAGTCGTCCAACAAAGCCTCAAGACGTCTTTGTGAGGGGCTTTAAGCCTTCATATACAAGGGAGGCTTAAAAAGTGACATTGCCCATGGCTCGAACTAGGAAACTTTTCGTAGCACAGAATGCAGCCATTGATGAAGACTTAATGGCAAAATATTTCTTAGATGTCCCTCCATGAGCGGGAGCAGACCCTCCCCCTTCCCCTTCACTTCCCTCATCTTCTTCAGAATATGACGTCATCTGCCATCACGGTCGAACTCAAGGAGGCCTATGGAAATCGCTCCAATCTGAATGCTACGTGATTTCTTCTACCAGTGGGTAACTTCCTAAAGACTATAGCTCTGCTTATGCAAGCCCCTTCCAACCAGATTCTAGTCTACTCTTCGGGATCTCATTGAGCTCGAACCAAGCCCTGTGTTTCCATGGGCAATTCTTCTGAAGTCCTGGTATAGAAGGCTGTCGTGAAGATTTAAAACTGAAAGTGTTCTTCAATTTCCAGTGGTTTGTAGCATTTCTTTTGATTTTGACGAAGTGTAATTAATTCCATTTAGAAGGGTGGAATAGTGACTCTTTTTTGTCCTCCCCCCCCCAACCCCTCTGTATACGTGAATTTCGCCATATCGTGTACAACTATCCCATGAAAAGATAGCATTTTGGTTTTTTATTCTGTAGTCATCATATTGGGACCTAATTTTCCATTATTCTCACGTTTTCTAGTTAAAAATATTTCCAGTCCTGTCACAACGACTAACTACGACGCATAACTAACTTTATTTAGTGTTTCTGGGGTTTATGTCGTTGGGGGGAGGGGGGTCATTCAAGTGAGTGAGCCACTTACAGTACTTGGGACTAAACCTCAAAGGAGGGAAGGGATCCTTGGAGAGGATGTGAGCAGAGCTTGTTCTTGCTGGCGGTTTAACCCTCTCCTGGGCTTAGCCCTGATCCCAACAGCGGTGTCAAATTTCCTGTTTTGAATGTTCCAACGACATGGGCGCCGCGTTTTTTTCGTCAATAGTAATTTCATTGTAGTTTTCCAGATATACATATATCAGACAACAAATGATTGAATGTAAGTGTTCCTGGTCTAATACAACGTAAATTACGCTCCTGAAGGCTTGTGCATGAAAAGTCTGCATCTCATACCAACACTCTCGAGGTCAATTCCATCTCTTGAAAACACAAACACTTTTCGGAGCCCCTTTCCTTTTTTCCACTGTGAGTAAAGCAGGCTTAGCAGGGTACCAGATTACTCCAAAATATGTTTCCATAAAAACTAGGAAACAAAATCATCAGACTTCATCGTGCGTAATTATAAATAATTTCTGAAAAATTCAGGGCAAAATAAACGAGTTATTTTTCTTTCGAAGAGCAGAAAGGAACCTCATGTGATGATATCATCCGACACACGTATGCCACGAAAACATCCCTTGGTCCCACGTGCCAGGCAAGGCAAAACGTGCGCGGTCACCTAGGGTTCAGAAAAATTTTTGGACATTTACTTTGGTTGAATGTAAAATTACAGTTAATAAGAAAAAGACTCGAACATCTACCAACAAAAGCCTTGCTGTGAATAAATAATATCATTCGTAGTTAAGTGGTCAAAAAATGTCGATAAAAAATGTAAGCAACTTACTGGGGACGATTCGGTGGATTCAGTGGCCTCCTCGGCATTTTGAACACCACCCTTGAACCATGTTGTGAAACTCTGCCGCATCTTTTGTCCTGTCTCACCTTAAGATAAAAACGTGAAAACTCGAATTAAATAGAACTCTGGGATGATGGGCACTCTACCAGGTCAAAAGACATCAATATAAAAAAAGTAGAAGAAAATTTTTCACACAGATTCCCCTTCTGCTGCGTAATCTTCAAATGATGTAGAAAGTAAAAGTGACCAAGTGGCAGAGCTTAGCACACACATGGAGCTGAGGTCAAATCTAGATCAAAATTTCTCCAAACTGAACAAGTCACCCAACTCCCGGCAGTTGATTTATGTCACTCTCGCATAGGAATGAGGGCACTAGTAGCTTGTACATCGAATACTAGCCGCCTGAGTATTATGAGCGCCCAATCGCTTCCAATTGGTTTGAGTTGAGCTAGAACGCACGGCGCACCCCAAAGGGTCTTGAGTAATGCCAAACGCTGCAATCTTCGTTTTCATTCAATACACAGAATCGAACTTATTTCGAGAGACCCGTAATAGAAGAGATTTTAACGACAAAGACAATATGTGAAATTTTGAAGAAAAGGTTTTGTTCCTCAATAAATGGATCATGGACGATTTTAATAAAAAACACTGCATTGTCAAGATAAAAAGAAGAGAGTGCTGTTGATGAAGAAGTGTACCAACATCGCAAAAATGTTGACAAAGATGGATTTTAACAATGACGATTAATAGCAATATGAGGAGGATGGAGCGTCAGGAGTAAACAAAAAGAACCGAAAATCTTTCTTGAAAATCAAATCTCACCAATATTCTTTCCAGTAGAAGTAAGAGCACTTATAGCTCTCCTGGCGCCTTCGGATCCACTAACTGTGTGCTCGACTCTTAGCAAAACATCGTATACACCGAGCTGCCCAGAAAAAGCATGCCTGTAATTTCAAAGTGATTATCGACTCAGACGCATTCTACTGATAAAATCTTACCCAGGAGCAACTCCAATAAGATCGTCATGCTGACCTAGCATCCAAATGCGGTAGTTTCTGAATAACAACGCAGACATTATTCAATGAAATCAGCTCGCAAATTGCAGGCCAAGGAACCTGGTGAATCTCCAGCTATGGACGAACGGAGCACCATAGTCTGCCACGGCAACCGCCAGATCAGAACGCGAGCTTGCCGCCATCGCTAGGAGATATTCGCGCATTCGAAGGCGCAACCACTCGTCGTTTCCTTCGAAAACTTAAAAAACACCATGTAATGCGCAGCAAATAACATGGAGGGATAAACTTGCCTGCACTTGATTTCTTATTTTCTTCAATGTTCTTAAGGATATAGTCGCCAAAACGAAGATCAGCCGACGTCAAAGGTACTTCACGTTTCAAATTTGCGTCCACAAATTCGATTTGTCCGATGTCTTGGTCGTCAATCTAAAAAAATTATCTAATGATGTCCTGCTGCTTATGTTTATGTTCTAGAGTAAACACAGTGCTCAAATTGCTCAAAATTATCACAGCAACACAACAAAATACTTGCAGATAAAAAACTCAAGGACGCTGCCGCACAAAAGCCAGGGGAATCAACAGGTTCAATGGCTTTAGCCTACGTATGTTTCACTCGTCAGTAGCCGCTTTGCCGTTAGTAACGACGACCTATTCGTGATCACCACTTCCAGAACTTTAGAAACAAGAACCTACCGTAACGATTGCATCTATTAAATCCCTTTTCGTGACGAATAGGGCATTTGTAGCACCTATAGCGAAACCCCGCACAGATTTGGATCGAATCATATCCAAATAAGAAATTGATAAATACGGATGGAACAAATTCCCCTATAAAACAGCTATCAACTCTATCAATAAACCAGCACTTTAACCTCAAATGTTGATGAAGGATAACGAAAATTTCTACGACAATGACTAACATTTGTGAATATGCTCAACGGGAAACCGAAACTGTCCTTTTTTGTCAATGGGTCTTCGTCAAGAATTGCCTTTGAAGATGGAATCACAATCTCATCACCAAGGTCTGAAAACGTTACAATGGATAGCGCGACTTCACCCATAAATATTCATAAGTTAGCAATAACAATAATGCCGGAATGTCAGACAACAAATAAGTCCTTGCCTTCATTTTCGTCTTCTTCCTTATTACGCGTCGCAGTCTCAGCTGTTTCTGAATGCACGCACGGCGATGAACAATAGCGAAGACCCTCCTCAAGCATCTCTGTAAAATAGCACATCGTTAATAAGGATCTGGTTGTTCTTATTCATGAAGAAGTAGAAACTGTACTTGGATAAAGGGATACAAGGGCAAGCATTGTAGTTCCAAGCAGATGAGCAGGAGATATATTGAAAACGACCTAAATACATAGCTACACATACCATGTACAACATGCAACAAGCACATGCCACAAACAGGCCATCCATCAGTTAGGGGTGGGCATCAATGGTGAACAGGATTTCGAAAACCACCACCAAAAATTTCAACCTTTTCCTACGAAGCCCTATTTCTCGGAAACCGTAAATAACAGCGAAATAAAGTAAATCGTTACCAAACCCATGCTTATATATTAATTTGCTTACCTTTCTCTCGAGTAATAATAACTTGAACAGTATTAATGTTCGATGTCGAAATCTGGTAAAAAGGTCCTGCACTGAGATATCTGAAAAGATAGCGCTACTAAAATGTGATAGCAGACCAACTGCGCCCTTATTACCTATACTAGCAGCCTGACCATCGACAGCTTCTCCATTAAACATGTCGCACAAATTCGAGTACATCTGTGAGAGAACCTCAACCTGATGTGACAGACGTACGCAAGAATATTATTCTTCTTCAAACATTGGCAAAGGATATTACCTTTCTAAAATCTCGTTCAGCGAAATATGCACGTGTTATGAGCTCCAGTTTGGCCTTTAAAGCTCCGAAAAGTGGAGCTCGAGACAACACACATACACTTTTTTGCACAGTACTTCTTGTTACATCATCTGCTTTTGCTACCAGATCCTGAAAGGGAAACGCATCATTTCAAAAAGTTTCTTCATTGCATAATCAGTACTAAAACTCGTACTACTGGTACACGATTTGAATACTCTGTGAACTTAAATACAGTTGGGCGTTTACATAAGCACAGGCAGCAAGCAGGCCGGTTCTGTGCATTGGCGCCACCTCATCTCCTGCTCACACCAATTTCGTCGTAAAGATACTCATCAAGAATTTCACAATATTTTACAGAAGTTCACAGTTTTGCCAGTGCCACCTTGCTTGAATTCATGCTTCTGAGCACACTCATCCTTCTTCTCAGAGATGTAGACTTTACTCCCATCATCCTTATTGACAGCATGTCTTCCATACTTCCCTTTCTTTTTGTAATTTTGAGTGAATTGATCCAGAGAAGCCCAGTTCTTAGCAAAGCATGCAAAACATGTGTGGTGTGTAACAAAATTGGATTTTCCGAACAGTTGACGACTCCGCGGCTAGTTGGTAACTTTTGAATTATTTATCTATCCGTGGACTGTATACAACAAATTTCGTGTCCGACTGCTGATTCGCTTTAAGAATGGTTGGATAGATACCCCATGCAGGGTTAGCCGTCCATTGTGAAGGTTCGACGAAGGGTCGTACTTGACTTAGCCAACGGAAGGGGAGGGTGAAGCCGTAGGCGCTGGGATCAGCACGGAATTCGAAGGCTTCAAGGAATAGCAAAGTACAAAAGCGAGCGACAGCCATCATAGCGTATTTCAGAAGAATGGATAATGCAAGACGATTCATTCAGAGATTATGAACAGGCTGGTCTTACGCCAGAGGCTCGCATTTAGATCAAAGAAGCGTCTACTTGCTTCCCCCCCCCTCCCCTCCCCCGGAATAGCCTTCCCCAGGCGCGTTGCTAAGACTGACCTTTTCGTTGCTATCTCTGAAGCACCTGGAAAAGAATGTCAGTTTTATTTTTGAATACCTCTGTTGTGGCCTTGAAACGGCTGTGCTGGTGAACCTAGCCATCCTTTTTTTGTGCTGTTTTAAAGCGTCGCCGGAAGCTGGCAAAAGTTTCTGCTTAGCTCCATCATGAAGCCTCTTCTCTCTCATCAGTATTGCATTTAGTACACTCACTGAGCCTCTCCGTGTGCTCTTGTTTTTGCCTCTGCCTCGTTTCTGCCTTTTTTTCCGCTCAGTTTGCTCGGCCCTGTTTGGACTATGTTCATCTTGTTCGTACTCATCTTTCATTTGTTGCTGTAGGTATAATCTTCTTTACCACGCGGGCCGTGTTCATGTTCATGTTAGATGCACCTAGAGTGCATATGAAATGAATAAAAATAAAAAAAATTGGAGAAAACTACGACCATTTAAAGGTTGCGAGCTTACGCTACACCGGAATAGCCACAAAATCATAAAGAAAATAAACCTGAACAACAGAACTGTTTTTCGAACAAGTGATGTTTCAGAAAAGTTCCAGAACTGTAACAAAAGTTCTGATCTTGTGAACCCTACTTCCCTTAAAGGAAGCGGTCACGATAATTCTCATGGAGACGATAAGGAAATCTGTGTACTGGAGTGGATAGGGGTCCTGCCCAGTGTTAGAGCTTTTGAAGTTTCAGTGGCAGTGGCGCCTTATCAACGGAGTGATAAGGCGCCGAAATCCACTTCCGTTCAGCAAAAAACAAGACTTATCGGTAGAAAGGGGTGCGGTAAGAGCGTGGTAGATATGATACCGCGATTCGTTTCGCTCCGTTTTCATTCTGGAGTGCACCTCTTATCAAGCAGCCGCACCTTCTTATCTCATCGTATCATATCTTCCATGGGCTTACACTCGTCCAACAATTACAACCCCACACCTTATCGATTGATAACGCGAGGGTAGCAAATCCAGCGTGGAAGCCAGCGTGACCGCTTCCTTTGAGATTTGCAAGAATTGGTTATGGAGCAACTTGAAGACTGTAATCTCTCGTGTGCACGAAAAGCGAAACAATGGGGCGTTTTTGGAAAAGGAAAATTGGGGAAATTTGGCATTGTTCTGAAAGTAGAAATCTCCGGGACGTCAAAAACATCCACGTTTTTGTAAAAGGTTGACTATGAAGGAAGTTGTGTGCGTTTAGAGTAAGATTTCATGCCACGATCTTGGCCCCCGTCTGAGAACCACTGAGAGCTCCCACGCAGTGGGTCTCAGACAACGTAGACGGACGCATGCATAGGAAAACCGCTTTTAATGAACACAAATGCTTAAAGGCAAGATTCAGGATTGAATTATGAGTTAATTCCACTTAAATGTGAAAGTAGGGGTAGGTAGTGGACCGCCAGTGCAGAAAAGAGAAAAAGAAATCGTGAAATGCTTAGGAAACACGAGCCATTTCCTCTACGGTGCGGAGAAGTTCAAAAGGCCGGCAGGGAGATGAGAGATAATGTGAGCGCGGAGAGCGCTAGAGAAGTCTAAGTAGAGAGAGCATAGCAGATCAACATTTCGACGCAGTCAAGATATCGAGCGGTGGGCGGAGCGTGTCGCAGCAGGTGGAGCGTGTCAAAGTTCTTAGAGCCTAGCGTCTAAATAACGGTTTTCGAAGTAGGGAAGTGACACGACCCCTACACTTGCGTGCCTAGCGCTTCTAACCACCGCAAAGGCTCATTAAGTGAGTCTGAGCCCGAATTTTGCCTTTGAAGTCAAAGGTCGGGCTCAGACACGCTAGAGAAGTAATTCCCGTGCCTGGAGGTTGTATGTAGGTAGCTGCACCATTGCAGCAACTTTCCACCTTGAAAAACGTCGTTAAGCCCCCGGGGCCGTCGGTTTCAATCCGGCCGCCTCGTCAATCCGGGACCGCCCACCTCCGGACGTGGTGCGTGGCTGGCATAACGTGTGAAACAACTAGGTTGATTGCCGTATCAACCGATAGAACGACTGTCATCTCTAGAAAACTTGTTTGTACGTTCCTCTTCCCCAAGACAGCCTCCTTCACTGCTAGTGGGAAAAAGGGTTTTGTTAACAGACTTGTCTACGGTTTTTCTCAGTTTTTTCTCCACTGTCATTCCACTCCGCATCTCTATACTCAGTTTCAGTCGCCATAAACCCCCTTATTGAGCCCGACTTTTGCCTTTAAACGCAAACAAATATCTGGATAGCTGGTTGGAAGGGGAACGGGGAGGCAGGGGTCGTATTGGGACCCTCGAATGGGGGCGGGGGTGTGGGAATTTTGAAATTGGACAACGGACGTTAACCTTGTTTCCATGTACGACTCCAGTAACCAGAACTAACCATAGGGTGAAGCATATGTTTAGCCAAAATTGGGTAGCTAAAAGCCTTACACTGGCAGAAATTTGACGATAGCAAGAAATTCCGAATACGGCTTCCTGTGGATTGTCTCTTGACGGCAGAACGAAGAATATCACATCTAAAAACCACATGTGAAATGTCATTGCATTTCTCATGAAATGTCATTCTGGTGTACAACACAATTCTACCTTGGACGCTAGTGAACGTCCCATAAGTACTATTTTAAATCTTACCATCGCTGGTGTTGTGAGCACCATCAGGAAGAGCAAGCGACGGAAGATGGACCCATTCGTCCGGCAGTCCTCCTTCGCCGCTTCCATCCAATTTTGGGTATGAGAACTCTACCTATATAGATTAGTTGATTTCGCTTGTCAATAGTCACACCTGAATGGTAGCAGTGATAGCACTGTCACCGCATTCCTATCAAAATTATAATTTGGTTGTTTCTTTACATTTCCTAAGTAAAAAAGGTTCCGCTGCGGCGCTAGTATTCACACAGAGTATTTTTACAGTATATGATATCGCGTCCTCCATGGAAAAGGTCACCGGCGGCGCGGGCGCGCCCGAGTGTTGGTGACGTCACAATGGCGGCCTTTCCACCAATACTTCAATACTCTAAATACTTCGAGCGTCTACTGTACTTTTACTTCACTATGTGATAAGTAGAAGTAGGCAGGAATCGAACGAAAGAACACTCAGCTTATTCAAATCACTGACAAAGCTCCTAAGAATTTTCACATGAAAGCCTTGACTTCCTCTACATTTTCAAAATTTCAATTCCTAAGGCAAGGATGGTGCCTAAACATAGCACAACCATATCTCTCGCGGCACAACTGATTTCACATGTTGGTATACTGATAAAATCATTTTGACGTCACCAGCACGCGCTCGCGTCCGCGTCGCTGGTGAACTTTTTTCTCTCCCCCCATGCTTTTAAATGGCCCTCGAAAGAAAAGTAGCTCGGCTCAACACACCAATAATTCTCATATCAGCTTTCAGACTGCTGATGAAGCCTTCAGACTTTCAGACTGATTCCAATAAGTGGAGTGCCAGTACACAGATACTGTATGGGAAAATTGAAGGAGGCAGTCTATCAGTCGAAGCGAATCTCACTAGCGGTGAAAGGATAGCGTCATTCTGGTCCGATGGCAGATGCAACCAGCTACCTTCGAGACTACAATACAGTAAGAATTCCAATTAATGTCAATAATCTCCCCTGCAATATCGTCGTAGGGGTACTAGTGCGGCTGTAATTGCGACTCCAAATATTAAGTGCTCAAAATTATTTAGAGAACTTCACGGATTTTAAAGATATCCGACCTACAGAACACGGAGGGGGTGAAGCCTTACATAGAACACATTTTTTATTAATATAAGTGAGTAGTTGAACTAGATGATACTTATAGCTCCTATACAAAACCACTCTTTCTGCCTTTACTCCGTTCTGTAGCAACTCAAACAGCACATCGCACGGTACATCTCTCTTCATTTACGGCTCTAGCACCACACTTCAACTTTTCAGATAAACGGAACATGAAGAAAACACTGTATCGAGGCTACAGCCTCATGAAATGAGAAAACATGAATCAATTCTATTCGCCTGCTTTTTGCAAAACTTTAGGCAAGCGCATTCCTCAACCACATGCTGGTTTTCATATGCCCTCGCCAGAGGACTGACTTGAAGGGCAACGATTTTGAGAATGCCTAAAAGATTACCCACCTGACATCCTTTCTTATGATGAAATCCAACGACGACAACATGCAAAATCTGTTGCATTCGCCGCCTAAAAAGCTGCCACTGAACATTTATCTATTGTTATCTCTTGTTTCACAGATACATAAGGCTCGCTAGAAACCAATTCGTTGTTCCACACCATAAAGTGAGCCGTAAATTTATCGAGAGTACAATCATTGGCGCTATATATAAACAACTGAGCCTCTTGCAAAGAAAGGTTTAACTTACTATACCAATCGATGGGGATCAATGCCCACAATATACAGCAACAAATACAAAATAATTAGGAAATATAGAGTAGTTCACATGCGAGTTAAAGTGGTTGTTGGGAGATCTAGTTGAATTCAAGGAAAACGAGAAAGAAAAAAGGAAAACAGGCAAAGAGCTAACACGCAAAGCAAGAACTCTTGCTTGTAATTAAAATTGGTCAGTAACGCTATTTGACAGAGGAAAGCACGGAAAGGGTTATCTGACCCATTTTATGCGCAAAACCCAGACATCATTGGAAAACTGATCAAAATAGCAAAATGAATAACTTTTACATGGCCACCTCAGTGAAAAATTGTTACACATATCCTGCAATTGGGCCTCAAGCATCAAGAACACCGCACTATTAAATTGTACCTGGTTTTCATCGGAAAGCAAAATTACTCCCTAAGAATTCACTAAAAGCTTATTCTCAGCACAACAGACTTGTGCAGAGGGGAAAGTAATAATGATGGAATAAAAAATGGAGCTATCGCAAGATAGATGTCTTTTACGTGAATTTAGATGGCAATGCATCTGCATCGTAAAGAAATCTTTTTGTTCAAAACTCTGCCTTAGGCGGAGGAAGAGATTCGAGGGTGCCGGAGCATTTTCATTGCCCTTAAAATTCTCGCCTCCTCCTAGGCGGTCCCAAAAGATGCCCCTGCATTCTGCGATAGTGCCAAAAAACCTTACTATAATGAAAGCGTTGAAGCTAAAACTATACAAAAAAAGAGGAGAGAAAATGGAGAAGAGTTGGATGAAGGCCATAAAGTTGTAAAGCTAAGAATTCACAAGCCAAGGATTCCTTGCCACAGTCTCTGGCGTACGATCCCCATAATCATACAGAAGCTCCTCAGCTTCGTCTATGTCACGTTTCGCTACCAGGATGAGATGGAGGCCATCTTCAAACTCAACCACCTGAAATTTCAAAACATCAAAACAATCCATGAGCAGGCATGATGGTACTCATCGGTTCTCAGAGGCCAAGGAAAATGACCACAGAACAAATGGAACGAAAATTAACACAAGATAGAATTACGTGGTAAAAATTGTTGCAGCTTCTGCAGTGCAAGTTCCCTGATAATCAACCTAGCTTCAGTTGCTTCTACACAATATTCCCTCAAGCACCTACATAGAATCATCAAAGTCATTCATTTGATGTGCCTTCCCGCTACCGTAATTGCTGCTCCGAGAGGAATAGTTTGCGTAGGCTGCGGTCCGCACGGTCTCCTAGGATAACCCCTTCCAAACTTCTGCAGTAAAAGGACATCAGCTCCTTGAGGTGAAAGCAATTTTCAGAAGACGCTCTACCCACTAAGATTACCCAGATGGGATGAACCCAGCACGTTGAGAGTCAGGAACCTTTCGTAAGAAAGTGTGAAGGCGAGAAGTTTTGCGCTACACCGGTCCTGAACACCTTTCGTTTTTTGTGCAGTTGTGCAGGAACTCCTGTTGGGAAATACAGCATTCCCCTTGAGGTGTCTAGTGATCTTATGGTTAGCAAGAGATGCTGCTCCGAAACGTCCTCTATTAAAAGAGGAATTGGCCACTACTCGCCGAGAGCCACCCTTTATGTGCCGGCAGTTTGAATAGGAACTCAAAGTGAGCGCTTCCCTCCCCCTCAGAGTTTGGTGGATGAAGCCTTTCTACAGTTTCACAAGAATGTTGGGTTGTGAACAAAACTTTCGCCCCAGGCGGGACCTTTCTACAGTAAAAATTTTCGCATCCGGGAAAATGTTCTTCAGGTGATCGCCTTCAGCGGCACCTTGCATGAGCGCTTCACACTTTTTCCTTCCGTTTAAGTTCCGCGCTTCAGACAGGCCATATTTCTACAGCACCTTATGGGAATGCTTATCTAGTTCCTGTCGGGCAACGCCTACTTGGTCGTGCTAGAAGCTGTCAACACTCTGTCATCTTTCCTACAGGATTGCGGTGAAGTCTATTCTTCACAGTTTTCCTGGAACCGGAGAAACCGAAGCTAGGGGACGGTACAGTGAGTTCTTCTATTCACTGCTCATTCCTTCAATATACTGTATATCGTTAGACTGGTGTAATTCCAAGGGAAAAGCGATGTCGGGTAAAAACGATCTGCTCCGCTCGTGGAAAAAAAGCAGCGGCTTCATTTGAGTAAGGGAACACCCGAAATTGAAAAGCTAATGCGGAGTTGTTAACCTTGACAGGCTTTCAGGAATATGAAAGAAACTAACATGCTGGTCGTTAAAAAAAGAAGCCACCAACAAAAATTACGGGCGAGATTTGGTGCTATTATGGAGCACCCTGTCGCACTGAACATTCGAATCAAAGGATAAATACGTGGATCAGATGTAACAGCATCTCAGGCAGTATATAATGCCTCTCTTTCTCAAAAATTTTAACAGACTACCTACCTTGGTCCGCAGATTGGGGCGCAATGCACTGTGATTTATGAGACGTCCCTTGTAAATGGACTCCTTTGTCGCATCCACACACCATCTCTTGCTTTTGTATTTGAAAAAATACATATAAGAACCAATAGATGGGTCTTTAGCATACTCCTCCTCACGAATTTTCGCCGAAGTATAATCCATCATATCACCTGAAACAGAAAACAATATAGCCTGTTTTGCGCACTAGTTCAGTATGCTCCGCAAAGAAACACTACGAATGTGAAAAGGACGTTCAGGGCATAAAAGGCTGTTGAGAAGCGAACTCGCAGACTTATAATTGTAGAGGCGCGGTTTAAGAGGCGCGGGTTCATTGGTCTAGTATCAATTGCGACATGGGACATAATGGTGTCTTTTTTGGAAATGAAGCCATTTTTGCTTGGACGACTTTTTAGGCCTATCTCAGGTTTCCTTGACACAAAATGAGTAACGAGACTGTAAAAAGGAGCATATCTGCCCGACGTCAAAGTGTTTTTCCTTGTCAACTCTTACATTTAGAGCTTTGATGGAATAGCGCGACCTTGTGTGCGTTTTATTGTGGATTTCGCATTTGAATGACAATTTTGTATCGAACTGAATGTCGTGAGGATATCTACCCTTCTACGACATTAGGAAAATGCAACCCACTCCCTTGTAATAGCCCACAAAAAAAGAAGAACGTTGATAAGCTGCTGCCAACTGGAAACTACACTGTGAATCCATCGCTTTCTCTCATGGTAAAGGTCAGCGCTTTCACCAGAAAGCAACCAAGACTTCAGCAGAAATTGAACAGTGAGTATGTCGAACTGCACCTTTGTATTCGATGACAAACTCGTTCTTCACGAAAGATTTGCCCGCTCGGATGCCACGTCCTTTTTTTTCGTCCATGTAAACTTCAACTAATGCTTCGTTCGTCATGTTGTATATCGCATCACGCAGAGCGCCCTTCTCTTCTTCCTAAAATACACAAAATTTATGCCAAAACGTCGGAGCAAACAAACAAAGTAGAGGAAACAAGAACTACAGGATAACAACTGAAATAGACAAGAATTCACAACATAAATCAGATTAACATTAAAAGAAGAAGCACTTCACAAACCTCAAGTTGTTTCCCGGTTTTTCGAGAACTTCTTCGAACAGGAAAGAACTCAGTGATCTTGTGATTTGACACATCTTGCACACCTCTTCTCCTAAAAAGGTTCATTTACTGAGCAAACTAATCAGCTTTATTTTGTAGTAAAGACATAAACCGCAATAAAACCGATGCTCATGAAAGATAGGTGTGTGATGGAGAGAGTAGAGGATTGGTCAAGTGAACGTAGATGACGCTTTCCGGGCAAAAGGCGCGCTATCAACATTGTGATAACATGGTACCTCACTCCTCACGAGGAAAGGTCAGCTGGTCGGTCCAGCTATTTGTAATGGACCTTACGACGCTGAGTTGAAATCTGTTTTCGATATTTACGGAACGTTCTCTAGAAGAAATTAAGATGATTCCTCTAACTGTTGCTTCCTCACAGTGGCGCCCTCTACATCCCCCTAGAGACTTTATTCATTCGCTGCGCACACCGCGAGAAGCTGTCTTGCTTCAATCATTTTGTGAAGGACTACCACCTGTGCTCGTATGTTATTGAAATTTTGTGCATTCACAGGTCTTCTGTGTGTCGAAGTTCACCACCATAATAAAGAACTTTTGAAAAGAAGCACGAGAAGGAAATTCCAGAGTCTGCCTCTTCCATGTGTCAAGTGTGGACGCATGCAATAAAATAACTAAATATAAACGCTTTCTGGGCACGTATGAGAAGCTCCGAGAAATCGCAAAAATCTGTAGATTCCATGATCAGCCTTCTTGGAACCTGGGCATGTTGAATATTACGTGTTGTTGTTGCTATGCCATACAGGTTGTTATGATGGTCGTCGCCTTCAGGACATACTGCTACTTCACCAGCGCCACGCAGACACTCAGTTTTCGGTGGACATTGAAAAACTTTCAAATTATGTGGTAGTAAGCTCCTGAAGACGACGAATTGTTCGAAACATCGACCGATTGATTCTACACCATGAGGACCTGTATAGCATAGCAACTACAACACGAAATATGCATAAATGTGTGATACCAAGGATTGGAACACGTAGCCTCACCCAAACAAAGTAAAAAAGCTATCCAACATACCTTTATCCTCACTGACATGCGTCCTCTCCGGCTCACCTTGAGCGAACCGAGGGGATAAGGGGAAGTAGAGGCCCAAAGCCACAATGAAAAAATCACTCTCAACTTTTTCAGAAAATTGTTCCGCAGACATCGAAAACGGATTTGAGCAACGTTGTACGATGCGTGTATCGGACTACACGTCACTAAGAATGGCGGGACTGACCAAATGACCATTCCTTGTCAGACACGCTCCGGATTGGTACGTGGAATGAATGATAATGGCAGTGTACTTAAATTGAAACTATTACCACCATCACCAAGACCGTTTAATACACTTTAAAAGGGTTTCATGCCGCAGCACTTTCTATCAATCGCCCTTGGCGTAATGATTTCATTCAAAAATCACAATGTTGGAGTTGGGGTAAATGTCAGATTACGCGGTTACAATGCGAGTCTGACACCTGCAAAACTAGTCTACTCCCGAAATCATCAAGAGGAACGAGAGTGCCCTTTTTCGGTTCTCTGACCTTGCGTTGGTCCTTATGCAACAGCACTTGGAGCCCAGTTTTCCATCTTTCATTAGCGAACTTATGAGGACTCAACCTCAAAAGTAGCAGGGCAGGTGCAGGCTATGAGACCAATCGTCAACTAAACGCGCGATTGGTCAGCGGTTTGAGCGGTCCTAGTGTTTGATGTCCTAAAGAAGCCAAACCCAGCTTGTTGTAGGCTATGTGTATTGGCACCTACGGGATACTCATCAGCTCTTCTATGACTTTAATACCATCGCTCAAATAGCTAGCAATCCGCCAGCATACTAGGGATTGATGCAAAGTCTTACACATGTCTATAAAGAAATCGCGTCAAATGAAATCAAGAAAGAGCATCAAGCGACTTACGGGTTATTTCGGCGATTTTGAACATTTTGACACGGCTTCGCATCGTCTGATGACTGCGCTTCCTGCTTACAGGGAGAAACACAATGCTCAATTTGAGGTGTCAGCGAATTCCTCTTCTTTCTGCGTCCTCGTTTCCGTGCTAAGACATTCCCAAGCATTTCTCAGCCTGAAAATATGACACAAAAATAACAGCAAACCGCAGAATAAAACAAGTCGAACGCAATTGTAAGTAATACAATAGTGAGCCCGAAAAGAAGGACATGAATATTACAGCCGACAACTCTTTTGCTTTTGATCCCACAAATCTTGAGTTGAAGGTAGTGTAACGTACTCAGTAATAAAAGTATGATCGCACCCTAAAGTACTGGTAATTGATGGGAATCGGAAAAATCAATACTTGGCTTCAGCACCTTTTTGTTAAACGGTTTGAGGCTTTCGTACGTACACAGATAAATAATGACTTTGGTGCTGAAGAAAATAAGAGAAAAAAAGACCATTTAAAAATTTTCACGTGTCTTCTTACGAGAACCTAGAAATGGCTATGATCGACGTAGCAAATTCTGACCGCGCGAAGCCATCTGGATGTAATGCTCACCCTACAGTGAACTTCTGGAGGCACGCGAATTATTCATCCAGTCCACTATACACGCTTAGATTCTCCTTGAACCTTGCACCACTGCAAAATGTGCGGGACGTACCACAAAGATACATTCCGCAAAGTATAGAACTTAAGAAGTTTCCAGGGTGTGTGCTAACAGTGCGACGAAACATGAACTGCAAGAAGTCGAGCTGTCGGCATACACAGTCTCTGCAGTGGAAGGGGGACCGATTGACATGTATTTGATCTTGATGGCGCATTCTGCGGTAGGCAATTTTTGTTTACACCTGCAATATAACCGACTGGGTGGTTCCGCCACATGAATGACGGGAGTGAAATCAGATCAGAAAGAAACTTTTACAAGGAAAAAAGTTAAAGCCCTGCACTCGCTTACCACTTGCAACAATGGGACAACTAAATTGTCCACTTGTCCAAAGTACAAACCTACACCTCGGCCACATTCCAATAATCATCTGCCTCAGATGTCGGTCAGACTGCGATTGCATCGCAATGGACCAGTGCCGGAGCGACGCGATCGCTCCATCGCTTGTCCACCGCGATGCAATCGCAGTCTGACCGACATCTTATCTTCTCTGAATGGTTTATACGAGCATTTAGCAGCAGCGAGTATTTAGCAAAACGGAAACCATAGACTGTCAAGAAAAACGGCAGTACCAATGAACGAAACCTACTTCGAAGCAAAGACTAGGGAAACAGTGCCTGAACGTGTCCAAAAGTTGAGCGACGATGTAACCATTTGTTTATACAAGCCAGATTACATTGCTCGGCCCGCCGTTGCCCTTCTGTTTAGCATCAAACCTCCTATCTCAGAGGCAGTACCACCAGCTATCAAACAAAGGTAACCCGTAGCTATGAAAACATCGCAAACCCATAAAAACTTGCACTCATTCCCCGTCACCATAAACAGAGGTGCAAAGCCATCCCAAATGAGCAAGTATGTGACTTTTGTTCTGTGCAAAAATATTTATGAAAAAAGTTGAAAAAAAAACGGTCGGTTAGGCGATTCCAGCTCAGGATTAGTAAATGGCGTCTCAGAGATGCAAAACACTTGGTTTTCATGTTTGACATGTGAGTATCATTCTGCTGTATTAAAAATCCTGCTTACAAGAGTAGACATGTCAACACGCGTTTTTCAACCCATTCTTGAGCACAATTAGCAGAACAACGCCACTGCATCGTCTACGTGAGGCCGCGTCCATAGTTCGCGACTTCGGAGGTTAGGATGGTAAGTGATGGGATGTTAAAATATGTATTCAGCTAATAAGATTAGATACGTATTGATTAGGGCGCTCATGTCGTGGCGGGGGGATGGAAATTCAAGTGAGCGGGCCACTCACAGTACTTGGGACTGAGCTTTAGGTATGTAGGTAAAGGGATTCCGGGATATATGAGGAATTGTCTTACTCCTTGGCGATTCTCTCCTCTCCTAGGCTCAGCCCTAGCGTCACCAACTAGCGCTTTCAAATGCCCTGTTTCGAATGTCCCCACCCCCACAAGGGCATGAGCGCCTTGATTCGAATGAGATTAGTGGACGTCCCACGGTGATTCGATCAAGTATCCGATCATTTTAGCCCATATCCTGATCTACTACAACCCTAATCTGCTGATCTCCTCCTGCAATCCCATCTCGTAATCTACCACTCAACGAATTCAATCAATACGTGTCAAATTTTTTCAGCGGAGTACCCCTCTTTGTTAGTATCCAAATCTCGTAATCGACAGATCATCGTGCCAGCCATCCCAATGGAGTGTTCATGGTTGGCGATTGTACGTGCGATTAAGCGATTAGGCGATTGGGCGATTAGTCTGTAATGAAAAATATACGTGTAGATTGGGCGATTAGGCGAGTAGGCGATTGGGCGGTAAAGCGATCACTCAATGGGCGGAGCAACAAATCCGTACGTATCCTTCCCTTACGCCTATTCGCCTGATCGCCCAGTTGCACGTACGATCGCCAACGAGAGCGATCCATAATCTCTCAAATCGCGAAGTATGAACGCGGCCTAAGCACAAATCAGAGTAGAATTAGCCATGCTCCGAAACAGTAGTGCTGCACAGTGGAAGCAGACAATAAGTCTCCGGTTCTGCATGCGTACACATGACAGTCTACGTACTAGGAATACACCGGCAGCACACCACCAATCAAGGAATGAAGTGAAAGAAAAATTTCAGATCTCTGCTCGAATGGGCAGGTAGCAACTGCCCCTAGCAAGTTTGCGGGCGCTAGTGGAAGCCCTGAGAAATCTCGTAGCAGTTCTACCCCATTTTGCTGAAAGACTCAAAAAAGGATTCTGCTCTCGAACGCCGAGGTAAGCCGTTTCTAAAACCTCACTTTGCGATGCTAGATGGAATATACATCGTATGAGTACAGTGTAACCTTTTTTGTCCTTTTCATTGTTCACATTAGTCCTCGTTTGAGAAACTTTTTGACAGCCTTCCAAGAATGCCAACCATAAACTGATGGAAATCACAAACTAACACTCTGAACACCATTTTCGGCACTGGTTTCGCTAAGGCATTTCTGGGCGCCATCCATATAAATTTCAACTATCACATTGTTGTATAAAGATAAGAATAATTAAAGGATAAAGCTTTCGCCGTTGATCAATCCCGTCTTGGGATGCGGCACGCATTCTACTTCCATTTTTACATTCGTAGTGGCGTTTGAATGCGATGTGGCCTATACAATGACTTGCGGGGGCCAGCCGATGTCCAACGACGGGCCACTTGCCACTACACCTATTTCGCCCGTTGTATAAAGATATGTAAGGAAACTAGTACACATCTCAATTTCTTTTCCTACAAAAAAGATGGCCAGGTAAAGATGGAGAGGGGAACTTTTATGTGAAGTAGAGCACGGTTTGCAGATTAGGCGCAAAGTTTTAAGATTATGACTATGCTATTTTTTCCGTTTTGTATTGGGTTGGCCATTGTTGGGCTCTACGAGGGAAAACGCGATATTATAGGAAGCGCCTCCAACTCTAAACTTTGACAAGGTGAGGAACTACGGGAAAGTGAAAATTGTCCACGCACGCACGCATTGGCAATCCCCTTGGCTCAGTCCTCAAACCTAAGCATTGCCTTAGTAGTTTTGAACCCCTAGGAAGTGGCAAGGGGACGAGATTCTGTCCATTGCGGGAGGCTATTGCAAGAAGATATTTATTCAGGATTGAGTCAGTAATAGTTCTGCTGGGCATTTTTATATGAATAAACTTAAAGGGAGTCCATATAAACGTCTACAATATTCGAAATTGATTTGAAGCATTGGACTCTCAGCGTAGAGATGCCCCTCCCTCTAACAACGCCAGCGCTCCATTCTTTAACCCCCAAATATTATATTTCCATCGATTCAACAACCTAAGAGTCAAACGGTGAAATTCCCACGCTTTGAGATTCCTGGAGATTCCTTACCTAAAAATGAAACTTAACAAACTAATCCAATCAAACTCTGCCTACAGAAGCGCACTTCAAGGAGCTCTTGACCCTGGTCGTCGCGCGGGAGCTACTTACCGGTATAACTTTGGGAAGTTTCTCAATATAAGAGATGATCTGTGATGGAATCGTGACAGACGACAACCTTGTACTCAGTTGCATCTATAAGCACTTCTTGGGTCTCCAAGGGCAGAATCCGAATTGCGGGTATCGATTTTCTGATGGGACACGCACGACGTCCACAGGTATGGCAATTATTCGGCAAACAAAGAGTGACACCTCTCAACTACAGTAAAGGCAATGAGGCAGTTTCTAACGGCAATGAGCTACTAATCCAGCAGGTGAATTCTTAGAGTCCATTCCATTAAGGAGGGGGGGGGGCGGGCGGGAATGTGGCGTATGGCATGTTCTAATGCAAAGCAAGCAGCCCATAAGCCACGGGAAATAAAGGCAGTCCAAGGATGGGTGGTGGGGTGAATCAATCGACATGTGTGAAAATCTAAAATGTGCAAGTTCACATTATCCTGCTGAGAGGACGCGGACAGGCCGCGCGCCGTAGCGGTGACTGCCGGAGCCGGATTCTCTGTCTTCCCAACTGGGACTGTCCTGATAAAGGGCCTACATTTGATGCATGTATGTAAGTCAAAGTCAATATGCACTGAAAATGAAAAACGTATGTCGTTAAAAACAAATAAATTTAAAGGGATCTTCGTTCCCAACTCCTTTGAGGGAGGACTGAATCCAGCCCCTGAACTTTCTTCCATAGTCCTGCCAGGAATGGCGGAGAGCACAGACGATTATAGACCGGCGCCTACGCTGGCTCCGTAAACCAAGGAAAAAGTGAGAGCTCTTTGACTAAGCCTTTTAGTGGGGAGGAACTCTTGGCTGAGTGAGCCTACCATTGTGTGGTAAAAGTTTGGATGTGTTAAATCGCAATGGTTATGAGCCGCCTTAAGCCAGAGCACGCAGACGAAAGCATAGAGTTGAGGCGGCTTGAAGGACCGAGTTCAAGTAGTCCGTCGACCGTGACTGTCCACTTCTCCGCCCATCTATATTAGCACTGGTAGGAAATCTCCGGAGTGCGTGAACTATTTTGTTTTCGCTTTA